TGGACCTGCTGACTCGAGCAGAGTCTTTCCCATACAACCCAGGTCATTCTCGTCAAATGGCCCTGTAGTTCCTCCTTGCCATCTTTCTTCTCTCACAACTGTCTCTCACCCCACAGCCCATGAGACCCCAGTCACTGACAGGATGTTCATTCCTTCCACAGATATCTCCTCAATTACCTTATAAGTCAGTATTACTATAATAATCCTTGGAGGAGGAGAAAAGATGATGTTGAAAACCAGCCCTGGTTCAGCTAGGACACCTTGTTATATACAATACCTATTTTTTTTTTTTACTCACCATAAAATAATCAAAGTGATATTGGTACTTCAGGACAACCCCAGAAAACAAAACACCCAGATGGAGCCTGGTGCCTCTGTCATGAATCTGTGGTACCAGTCTCTATGTAATACTGGATTTCCTCTGTTATTATTTTTTAAAGATTTTATTTATTTATTTTCAGAGAGAGCAGAAGGGAGGGAGAAAGACAGGGAGAGATTGAGACACACTGATTGCCTCTCACATGCCCCCAGCTGGGGACCTGGCCCACAACCCAGGCCAGGAATTGGACCAGCAACCTTTCAGTTTGCAGACTGACGCTCAATCCACTGAGCCACACCAGCCAGGCCCTCTGTTATTTTTTTTTAACTTATTCTTTCACTTCCTTTGTTTAAAGTGCTGATAAACTCTTAATTCTGGTGTTTTCATGACCTCTAGGCAAAGGCCAGAGAGGACAGGCAGTTGTTAGGCGGCGTGATAGATGCTGTGATAGTGAGGTCACACGGGGAGCTGTGTGGACACAGAGGAGGGCACACAACTCATACATGGGGAAATAGTAAATGTCCTTGAAGCGATGGCTAAGTTCTGGTCCCAAGGATCAGAAGTAATTACCCAAGCAAGCTGGAAATACTGCAGCAGGAATATCCAGGGGGCACCAACACCATGAGCAATGGTTCAGAGGTGAGAGAAAGCAGGGTAGCAGGGTGTACATTCTGGAAATGGAAAGGAGTGTTGCAACTCATGCCCATGTGTAGGCCAGCTGGATAAAGGAGCGAAGCTGCCATGTAGAAGAGAGAATAGGGAGTAACTGGGACTGTAGCAAACTGGAGAGTAGGTGCCTTGTCTAAACTGCTTTACAGATGAGAAAACCAAGGTCACAGCAGTTAAGTACATGCCCAAGTATACACGCAGAGTAAGTGGCAGCACCAGGCATTGGACCCGGGCAGTCTGGCACCAGGATAGGCATGGAAGGAGGGAAGTCTGAAGCAAGGTGAAGGCAGGGTGGGTCTGGACTGGGCAGTGGTGGCTCCCTGAGTCCACACCCTCCTCTCCCCCTAGCTGAGCAGCTCACTGTGGTGGGGAAGATCTCCTTTAACCCCAAGGATGTGCTGGGCCGAGGGGCAGGCGGAACTTTCGTTTTCCGGTGAGTGACATCCAGGAGCCAGGCTAGAGATGTGGCCCTCACAGCTCTTTCAGTACTGTCCCTTGGAAAGCTGTTCTCTCAAGGATCTCCCAGGTGGGTGCAGGCTGGTGCCTGGCGCCAGTCCTAAGTTTTCGTTTATCTGCCTTATCTGAACCTCCATTCTCCCACCTACCAGGGGACAGTTTGAGGGGCGGGCAGTGGCTGTCAAGAGACTCCTTCGTGAATGCTTTGGCCTGGTCCAGAGGGAGGTCCAGCTGCTGCAAGAGTCAGACAGGCACCCCAACGTGCTCCGCTACTTCTGTACAGAGCAGGGACCCCAGTTCCACTACATCGCCTTGGAGCTCTGCCCTGCCTCCTTGAAGGAGGTGAGGCTGGAGTGCAGGGAGGAGTGGATAGAAGGCCTGGAGGTCCTTGGCTACAAAGTGACTTTTGCCCCTCACTGCTCCTCAGTATGTGGAGAGCCCAGAACTGGACCGCTGGGGCCTGGAGCCTGAGACAGCACTGCAGCACCTCATGTCTGGCCTGGCCCACCTGCATTCCTTACACATAGGTACTCACCCATCTCCCATTCCCCACTGCCACCCTGCCTTCCTCACCACCTCTCTCAGCTGCCTTCCACCATCACAGTGCACCGGGACCTGAAGCCAGCCAACGTGCTCATCACGGGGCTTGACAGCCAGGGCCGAGGCAGGGTGGTTCTCTCCGACTTCGGCCTCTGCAAGAAGCTGCCAGCTGGCCGCTGTAGCTTCAGCCTGCACTCAGGTGTCCCCGGCACAGAGGGCTGGATAGCACCTGAGCTCCTTCACCTCCTGCCCCCATCCAGCCCTGTGAGTTGTCCCATCGCCCTGGGCCAGCACCTCTCATGCCCGGGGTCCATATCACTGCTATGTGAGCTTGAACTTGTTTCTTCATCTATAAAGTGGGATAATTAATCCTTTCTTACTTAGAGCAGTGGCTCTCAACCAGGGACTATTTTACCACCTAGGGGGCACTGGACAATGTCTAGAGATATTTTTGGTAACCACACTTGGTGGTTGGGGGGGGGGCGGTTGTTTCTGGCATCTGGTGGATAGAGACCAACAACACTGCTAAATATCCTGTGACTATCCATCCATAACAAAATATGATCAGGCCCAAAGTGTCAGCAGTGCTGAGGCTTAAGAAACTCTAAGCTATAATGGTTTTAACTCTTCACTGTGCCGCAGAAGCACTGGAGAACCTAAAAAAAAATCAGCTGCCCAGGCCCCACATTCAGCGATTACAGCCTGCTTAGCTGGGGTAAGGCCTCAGGGTTTTCAGGTACAGCCAGGGTGGAGAACCACTGGGGTCGATGGTCTGGGGACCATCCATCCAATGAGCTAATATGGTTGAAGCACAGAGCAGTGTCTAAACCCAGAGACATTTGAGTTTGAGGCCCCAGGAGTAGATTATTGAGCCATCAATGTGTGTGTAGAAGTTGTAGTCATGGGCATAGATGACAATAGCACAAAAGGAGTCACTAGGCAAAGCCACCCCCACCCCTAAAGTTTAGAGAAAGCTAGAAGTGGCAACATGAAGGCCCAAGGACCACAAGCACTGTTAGGAGCCTATACAGGTTTTCATTTTTAATTAGTGCCAATATTTTAACTTTTGGGAAATTGCACTTAAATATCTGCGTTTCTGGATCCTCTTGGGAAATGAAAGCTCTAACACCCCAAGAGAGTGCCTTGAAGGCAACCAGCCAGAGCTCACTACCACCTGCTGCCTGTGGACAGAGTCCTCTCCACTTGCCTCGTTGCCTCATGCCTGGCCAGCTTCGCTCAGTGATGTTACCTGCTAGATCTGGAGGAATGACTCTTGGAAACCTGAACGAGAAGCTCAGTAGGCACAAAGATTTTGGATGAAAACCATGGACCCTGTTCAGTGGTGCAGGGGGAGGGGATTTAGGGCCAAGGGGATACCTCTCAGGAAGCACCTCTGAGTTCTACCCTGAACCAAACTCCCTCTGGAGAATTCAGCCAGGCAGGCTTCCTGGAAGCAGACTTCCTCTTTACGCTCTTTTCTCTGGCCCCAGACCAGTGCAGTGGACATCTTCTCTGCAGGCTGCGTGTTCTATTATGTGCTTTCTGGCGGCAGCCACCCCTTTGGAGAGAGTCTTTATCGCCAAGCAAACATCCTTGCAGGGGCTGCCTGTCTGGCTCACCTGGAGGAAGAGGCCCATGGTGAGGGGACCTGGCCCAGCAAAGGGAGGAAGCAGGCCATGAGTCTGGGCAGTCTAAAGCCATCCCCTTTCTCCTACAGACAAGGTGGTTGCCCGGAGCCTGGTTGAGGCCATGTTGAGCCCACAGCCGCAGGCGCGCCCCTCTGCTCACCAGGTGTTGGCCCACCCCTTCTTCTGGAACAGAGCCAAGCAGCTCCAGTTCTTCCAGGTTAGGGGAAATCTTGGGAATGGGCTCAGTAAGTCCCAAGTTTAGATCCTGAGTAACAAGGGGAAGCCAGATTGGTTGGGGGAAAGGGAATTGTCTACCTGCACCAGGTAGTCTGGATCCTTATCTAAACCAAAATGGACCCCAAACTCCTAAATGTTGCCATTTCAGCCCTCTAGTCCACTCATCAGCACCTCCCCAGGCCCAGCTGCCCCTTGGGTGAGAGCACACCATTGCTTTCACCCCTAGTTGTCACTTGTGCTATACCTGTGCCCAGAAAGCCCATTCTAACTTGTATGACCTTGGGCAAGGGACTGCCTCTGAGCCTGCTTGCTCATCTGTAAAATGGAGGACTACAGTATCTACCTCATGGGTCAGGGAAGACCTGGTGGGACAACATGGGAGGGAGAAAGGACTCCTGGCCTTGTGACCTCTGGAACTGGTCACAGGCTCAGGAGCTCTCTGGGGGTCCTAGGACGTCAGTGACTGGCTGGAGAAGGAGTCTGAACAGGGGCCCCTGGTGATGGCACTGGAGGCAGGAGGCTCCATCGTGGTCCGGGGCAACTGGCACAAGCACATCTCGGTGCCACTGCAGTCAGGTAGAGGCCAGATGCTGGGAGGGACAGGAAGGCCAAGGGAAGTCCAGTGGGGACCGCTTTGCCAATGATTTCCCTGCCCACAGATCTGAGAAGGTTCCGATCGTATAAGGGGACTTCAGTGAGAGACCTGCTTCGAGCTATGAGGAACAAGGTGCGTTCTAGGGCTCGGGTGGGTCCTGGCTCTTGGCAAGAACTGGTCACAACTGAGCCAGGGCTGTACTCTAATCTCTCCAGAAGCACCACTACAGGGAGCTCCCAAGTGAGGTCCGGCAGGCCCTAGGCGATGTCCCTGACAACTTTGTCCAGTACTTCACAGACCGCTTCCCACAGCTGCTTCTCCACACACACCATGCCATGAGGAGCTGCGCATCCGAGAGCCTCTTCTTGCCCTACTATCCACTGGCCTCAGGGGCTAGGCAATTGGAAGCTGAGGCCAGCCAGCCTAGGAGCTGGGCCTGGGGCTGAGACTGGCCTCAGCATCAGAAAATACCTGCAGAGACTTGGCAGCCTGGGGACAGATACTGGAGATATGCTGAGAGCCCAGGTGCCAGGCACCCCTTGGAATACAAGAAAAAAAAATTCTCATGTGTTTAATGTATATAAAGGCAAGGAAAGGACAGTCCTGAATCCAACAGCAATATTCTGTACATACGGCAGGGTTGAGAAGGAAGGGAAGGGGCCACAGAACCCACACTCGAACATGTACAAAAATAACTTACACAGCAGCCCCCACCTGCTATGGCTCTCTCCACAGCTACCAGGGTTGGGGACACACTATAGAAACCAGCACTGTGGGAGCTAACCACAAGAGGCCAAGGTGCTGGGGGGGGGGAAGGGTCACCAGTCCAGAGGGGACAGGCCTACGAGGAGGCCTTGAGGCGATTGGTGGCTGAGCGTGAGCTCAGCAGCTTGTCCACCATGGTGCGGGCATATCGGAGCCGGCTGGCCAGCTCCTTGGAACAGCCATATTCCTCCAGGAGGCTCAGGCGGTATGTGCGAAAGTCCCGCTTCTCATTAATGTAAGTCACAGCAGCCATCAGTGGACACAGGATGAGTTTGGTGTGGTCCTATGAGGGAAGGAAGGGGATGGGCAGACAGAGGATGATCGGTGGATTAAAGATGTAGGTGCCAGTGTAAGGAAGTATAAGGAAGACAGCCCAGCTGGTTGAGGGACCTCACTCCACTCTGTTCCTGCTACCAAGAACAGGTCCCATACCTCCCACTCCCATCCAACTCTGTGAGCTCAAGATGGGTGCAGATCCCCATCATCTCTCTCTCTCTGCCCCGGCTCACCTGGAAGAAGTTGATCTGCACAGAGCCATTACTAAGGTGCAGGATGATGGCACTGCGGGTACGAAACCAGGTACGCAGATAGGGCAGCCGGGCCAGCTCATCACCCTCCCGTGGTGTGATATTGGCCCCCGCCTTCAGCAAGTGTTCGCTCATGTAGTTTCGGAAATACTTAAGGAGGGTGATCTAGTTGGAGAGTCAGGGAGGGAGTCCAGAGTTAGAGCCCAACACCTGGCACATCACCCACTCCCAGCAGCACCAGGCCGTGCGGGCCAGCCAGCACTCGCCTTCTTTATCAAGGAGTGGGGATGGGAATTCACAGTGAGGTAGGACTCGGTGCCGTCACGCTCTATGTACTGCAGGCTGTCACCATCGTTGTAGAGGATAAGGCGTGTTGAGTCATTGAAGAGCACCCCTACGCTGTTGTCACACAGTTGATATCCTGGCAGTAGTGGGGGAAGACCTCAGAAAGGGGAGCAGGGAGCAAGGGAACACTGGGAGCTGGCACTAGGATGGAGATGGGAGGGCTGAGAGAGGACTTTACAGCCAAAGAAGGCAAAAGCCTGTAATAAAGCAAGGAATCACAGGCTGTCCCTGGGCCACCCACCCAGCGTGGAGGAAACCTACCAAGGCCATACTTGTCCGAATAGTCCACCCACTTGCTGACCCAGAAGATGGGGATGCAGGCAGGATCCTCAGCCTCTTCTGGGATGGAAACAGACAGAGGACTGGTCAGAACCAGTCTCTTCATCTCAGGTGGCCCATACCAGAAGGCTCGCTGGACATCCCACCTGGGCTCAGTCAAGCAAGAGGTCTGGGGCCACACGGAGCAAAGCAAGGCCTCTGCTGCCAACAAGCTCAGACAAGTAGAAGGACACACATGTAAGCAGCAAGTTATAATGCAGAGCACCAAGTTCCACTCATTCACTCAACTGATCCATTTAATCAAAGGCCTACTGTGTGCTGGGCACTGTCACAGGTACAGTGAGCAATGACCAAAACTCAGCCTTCATGAAGTTTGCATTCTAGTCACAGGGACAGAGGCTAATCAAAATAAACAGAACAAAGTAAGTTGCTTCCATCCTGGGGAGAGTCAATGGCTGACAGATTATCCAGCTTTCCAGTTCTGAGTGATTAAAAAATTGTAAGAAGATAGGCAATTCCACATACATCAAAATGTTAGGCTCAGTAACAGCAATAATCCCTTCTTTTAAACACAGAAAACCAACATGGAAACTTTGGAATATGTCAGGTGAGAGGTGTTACAGATAATATAAAGCAGGTATGGGATGGCAAGTGCTAGGAGTGGGGACAGGAAACGCTCATGAGGGGGGACATCAGAGCGGACATTTGGAAAGCACGAGAGTGTGAGCCATGCAGATATCTGCAGAAAGAACATTCCAGAAGAGACTGGGCAAGCAAAGCCCTGAGGCTGAGCATGTCTGGGTCTATTTTTTCAACTGTCTAGAAGGCTAGTCAGGAATTCTTTGAATAGAAGAAACATGTGTAAATGTGGATCAAGGTAGTACAGTGAGGTGCTGGGAGATGAGGCAGTTGAGACAGAACAGATGAGTCAGAAATCGGAAGGAGCCAGACCATGGAGGGCCTTGGGCTAACTCATTGGGATTTTAATCTACAGAAATGGGGGAACTAAACATATTATGGGGACAGAAGCCTAGACAAGCCACTGCACTCTGCTGGCTGAGACTCCCTGCCCTCTAGAGATGCCTCAGGCAACCTCCCACCCCAGGCTACTGCAGTACCCACCTTGCCTCACCAGCCCCCGATCTGAGGGTTTAGAGGCATTGACGCTGTGCAGTTGCTGCAGCAAGTCACCAAGGTGGCAGTCCACTGCCTCACTGGTCTCTCGGACTGCTGGTTCCTCTTTTTCTCGGGGCTGCTCAGGCATGGAGTTCTCTGTGCCTAGGAGAGAAGATAAGACATAGTCATTAGCTGGGTGAAAAACAGGCAGGTTGGGAGGGGCACGGGATGCCTTGCCACAGCTGGTCCTTTCCCCAGAGAAAACTGCTATTGCTTTAGGTAGACTGAGTCAGTGACAGGTTATTAGAGCTCATACTCTAAGAACAGGCACATAGTATCCACTGGCACCTCCAAGACCAGGCCAATACCTTTAGCATGGCTCTTCAGCCACACACACACAATTCTGGAAACTCAGAATTAAAAGTACCTTCAACACCCAGGAAAACAGGAGAGCCAGTAAATTGCAGACCAGCAGGATGAATTAAGCAGGCATTAATGAAAATATAAGCGGTCTCTCACCCTAAAATTTGCTTTACATACTTATACATGACCCAAAAAGTCTGAAAAAACCCACGCTAAAACTTTAACATGGGTTATATTTGAGTGGTAGAAGCATGATTTTGTCTTTATACTTAATGTTTGATTCTTTCCCCACTAACATGTGCTCATTCTCCTTGTGTAACAGCAAATTCTTCTTTAAGATATTTAAAGATCAGAGTTTTCAATTTTAAAAAACTATGCTGTGATAAAGACTTAAATGTAAAATAACATTTAGGATTTGCTTTTAAAACTCTAGCCAAAAAAGAGATGAAGTGGAATAAATAAAAATATAGGCAAATAACTATTGAAAATGGATGATAAATACATGAAGGTTCATCATACAGTTCTCTGTACCTTTTTTTTTAAAGATTTTATTTACTTATTTGTAGAGAGAGGGGAAGGGAGGAAGAAAGAGAGAGAGGGAGAGAAACATCAATGTGTGGTTGCATCTCAAGCACCCCAGTAGGGAACCTGGCCCACAACCCAGGCACATGCCCTGACTGGGAATCAAACCAGCATTCCTTTGGTTCACAGGCTGGCGTTCAATCCACTGAGCTGCACCAGCCTAGGCCTGTACTTTTGGGTAAGTTTAAAGATTTCTAGTGTAATAAGTTTTTAAAATATGTTTTCTGTCCAAAAAGTAAAGGCAAAAGAAGAAAAAAAGCAATCATTAAAATAATGCTGTTACATGATAGCCCAAAGCACAAATATCCGAGTTCAGACTGACATAATCAAATAAGTACATGGGAGAGAAGTGACAGTTCTTCCTTACAGAATACCAATGACTAAATATAGAAGGAGCAAGGAGAGAGAAACATCACTGTCAGAATACCATGGTTAAAATCACCACTGGCAAGATCCACCATGACTGCTAAAATCAGTGGGCAAAGTCTGAGGAGAAACACGCAGTCTCAAAATAACTCTGGACAAGGCATGTTTTAATTACAAAGGAAAAAATAATGACTGCTAAGCCAATCAAACACCAACATAAAAGAAATGTCAATAGTTAACACCAAAAGAAAAAAAGGGAATCCTTAAATAATAAAAGTAAATGAACTTATATATTAAATTGATATATACTGAATTGATGCTATGTCCACAGAGAAAAAAGTATTTCAAGTGATTTTTTTTTCACGCTACATATGTTTAGTAAAATCTTTTTCAAGGATGGATAGAACTGCAAGAAAATAAAACATCATGTTGAAAAATGTATGTATATTAATATAAAGAAACAAGATTTTCAGCTTAAGAAAAAATACAAATATAAAATCAAAGTAAAAATCCTATAACTTTATATTTGAATCACACACTTAATAATTACCCCCCAAAAAATGTAGTTACTTCACAGTGGAAAAAAAGATTGTTATAAACACAAAATTATATCAACATTAAATTTCCTGAACTTGATAACTGTGCCATGTGCTGGGGTTCTGTAAAAGAATCTTTGTTTTGGGGAAATAGATGTTGAAATATTAAGTTGTAAAGGACAGGATACATACAACTTACTCACAAATAATTCAGAAGAAAGGAAGGGAGAAAGGGAAATGATGAAGCAAATGTGAATTGTGGCCCTGGCTGGTGTGGCTCAGTGGATTGAGCACTGGCCTCTAGACTGAAAGGCTGCCAGTTCAATTCCCAATCAGGGCACAAGCCTGGGTTGCAGGCCAGGTCCCCAGCTGGGGGCATGGCAACCAATCACTGTTTCTCTCACTCATCATGTTTCTCTCCCTCTTTTTCTCCCTGTTTTCTTTTTTAAAAGAGTTTATTCATTTATTTTTAGAGAGGGAAGGGAGGGAGAAAGAGAGAGAGAGAGAAACATCAATGTGCGGTTGCTGGGGGCCATGGCCTGCAACCCAGGCATGTGCCCTGACTGGGAATGGAACCTGTGATGCCTGGTTCGCAGCCGGTACTCAACACACTGATAAATAAAATCTTTAAAAAAAATGTGAATGTGGAGCTGAATGAAGTGGATATATATGGAGGTTTCATCTACTCTCACACCTATTCCTAAGTTTGAAATATATATAACAAGTTAAATAAAATGTTGACAAGACATGAATTGGAAATATTACCATAAAGTCAAGATCCAACCCCCCATGTTATGTATTTCCTAAGTCTGTCCTCTGAAGAGACCTAGAAATGACAATAACCTAATAAGTGACAAGTGGTTTTATAAGATGCCCATCCTTTTAAAGAGGCACACTGCAATTTATAGAGGTAAAATGGTAAGGTATCTGGGATTAACTTAAAAAATGTCAAAGGAACAAAAAAAGAGGATGAAGTGCATGTGACAGAATCTTAATAACTTGAATCTGATGGGTATGTGAGAATACACTGTCCTAAATTCTCTGAATATTTGAAAATTTTTGTATTTTCTCAACGAACCACACAAGAGTGATGTTAAGAATGTTTTCAAATATGAATTTTTCAGATAGGGCATTCAGTTCACTCTCCTCCTTCTGGGCCTGACAGGTCTGATTCAGCCTTGTTAGGGTCTGTCTTTCCTGACATTTTGCCATGGGAGGGTGGGGCAAGAGACTCAGGACCATGGCCTGTCCTACTATATACCTGAGCTCAGGGGCCATCTACCCACACATCTTAAAGCCTAGGCTCTTTGTGTGTGTGTGTGTGGAGGGTCTGTTGTCTACCCAAACCTTGCTTTACCTTTATTGAGGACAGAGAGAGGCTTCCGGTTGCTGGGGTCCAGGCTGCTGGGAGCAATGGAAAACCTGGGTGGAATGGTGAGGCAGGTGATGGGGAGACGGGCGGGGATATAGCCAGAGGTAAAAAACTCGTCATTGAGTAGCTCATGGATGGTGGGGCGGGCAGTGGGGTCGGTCTGAAGCATCTTCTGGATGAGGGAGGCAGCCACGGGATTGATGTGCTGGAGCAGTGAGAGAAGAGTCATAAGCAGAATGTGACAGCACCTCAAGTGCAGTGCTGTACAAGGAGCTGCAGGCCCACCCCACGTGCAGCCCCCTGGTGTCAAACAGACCCCAGTCACTGCAAACAATGCCAAGTTCCCTACTATCAGCTTTGCTGAGTTGACAAGTGTCAAACTCCGTTGTGAGAATGGTTATTTCTCCTTCCTCTTCAAAGTCAAGCTCAATTCGAGGTTATTTTGTCCCAGTTTGCTACTGCACAATTCAAGTTGCTCTCCACTAGAATAGCACTTAAGAACACAGGCTTTGGGGTCACAGACCTGGTTTAAGTCCCAATTCTGCTGTTAATACCGCTGTGACCAATATCTTCATCTATAAAATGGGGACGGGCCACCAAGCCTGGTGAGAAGTCTCCACGAGATACAGACCTAGCACAAGTCAAATGCATAGTAACAGCCTAGCACTAACTCTGCACTCAGTATGTGCCAGGAAAGTATCCTAAGCATGTCATATATATTCACTAATTTAGTCCTCACAAAAAATATCTAAGGGGTGGGGATCTCTATTACTACCCTTCTCTTGCAAATGAGGAAACTGAGGCACAGAGAGGTTAAGTGCCTAATACATACCTACTAAGTGGTACAGCCAGCACCCACACTGATGACAGCCTAGCTGCACTCAAGGACCCACACTCTGAACCACTCCACACTGGGTCCGTCTGACAGTTAACGACGATCACTATGGGATCAGGGCTCTTTGGCTGCACACAAGGCAAAAACGTGAAAGAGGCCATGTGCGAGGCTTGCTTTCAATGCACTTATGCTAGTCGTGAGAAAATGCACGCCACTTTGGACTCACAGTGATCCATGACTGTGAGCGAGCGCTTCCTGTGTGCAAGGCACTGTGTGAGTGCTGCCCTCCATTTCACAGACGGGGAATCACAGCTCAGAAGATCCAGGGCACCTGCCCAGCTACATCAAGACAGTCCACTGCCAAAGCTTAAGCAGCACTTCTACTTCTGCCTACTTCCTTCCCATTTTTTTGCTGTTTTTTTACACATCTTCTGGGTAATCTACCCAACCTTTGAAATCTAAGAACTCTCACCCTGGAAAAGAAAATGCTTTTGTGCACATATGTCTAGTTCTATATGTAGTTTCAGACATGAACTCTCTAAGGTTCTGAGGCTACCCAAGGTGTGGGGTTGACCTATCTCTGTGTCCCCAGGTTCTAGCTAAGCTCAGTAAATAGCTTTGTAGGGGAGGTGAACAAAATGTATTAAATTTAAATTTAAGTGTTTTTAGTCACCTTGGGAATATTGTACTCATTCTTCTTGATCCGGAGATAGGTCTCTTTTAGGCAAGATGTCTCAAAAGGTGGTTTGCCCACTAACAAGGTATACCTGTAAGCACAAGGTGGGATTTGGCTCAAGGCTATCAGCCAAAACACAGATGCAGGAGGAATCATCTCAGGGCCAGAACAAAAGCCAGGCATCCTCTGGATACTCACTCTGTCCCTGAGGACACTTCCCAAGCCCACTGAGCAGCCCCAGGAACCAGGACACTGGTAGAGAGCTTCCTCAACAGATTACAGGTGATGAGAACAGGATTCTTATGGGCAATTTTCTAGGACCCCAGAGGCCACCATCCAATATAGAACAAGTCAAAGTGGGGGCTAACCTGCTCCTGCAGAGGCAGCTCTGCATTTACTAGTTCTGTACTTAAAGCCTGAAGTTTTCATTTGAAATAGCTCTATTGAAAAGAAGTATGAAGGCCATTGCCACAACTCAAGCCCTCTGCCCACCACCCAGCTCTGATGGCCTTGACCAGGACAAATGGCAGGCACCTCCTCCTGCCAGCTCTAACTCCTAGCCTAAGTCCTCCCACCCAATGCCACTTTCTAGATCAGTGGTTCTAAAACTTTTGTGCACGAGAATCAGCCAGAGATCTGGTTAAAATCCAGATTCTGATTCGGCAGTCTGAATCCTAAGGGTTCTGTAATTCTAACAGGTTCCTCGGTGATGATGATGTTGCTGACCTGTAGACCACACTTTGAGTAATATGAGGCCCAGGCTGCAGGAATCCTATAGGATACACCAGTGATAAGAAAATATAGGAAATTAGGCTGTTTTTAGGCTCTTGAGCAGCCTTTTCATAGGCAGCCAGTTAACAGGTAAGATGTCCAAAAGAGCCCCTGCAGAGGCCAGGTGGATCTTCCAACTTACATGATACACCCAATGGACCACACATCCACCTCAAAACTGTGCCCTTTCTTGCTCAGCACCTCAGGAGCTATGTAATTAGGAGTTCCACACAGGGTCTTCTTCCGTTCCCCATCATATTCGACTTTGGTTGCCAGTCCAAAATCCCCTGGGCGAGAGGAAGGAAGATGGATACTCAGATGCTAGCCTCTGCCATCTGTCAATGCAGACAACTTGATTCAGGTTTGACTACTGAAAACTAGGGTCATCTGATCCCTCAAGCTCTAGTCCTTGTATGCAGCAAGGCCTACCTAGGAATCCTCCTACCCTGCTGGCCCAAGGAGGGGGCCTCCTGATGATCCTCCTAGCCCCTCCCCTTAGACAGGGGGACTAGGCTTCTAAAAGAGAATTGACAGGGGTAGAGAAACTCAGGGATCAAGCAAGTCAACTTCAAGACTGCTACAGGCAAGTTTGTGAGGTAACAGGGAGGAGCTGGGGCTGTGGCAAACCACAGGGATTCAATATGGAACAGCTGCCTTTCACCCTAGCAAGGAGCTGCCCTGAGGGAATGCTGTCCCTGTACCACTGGAGTCTCCAATAGTTTAAAAGGAGTTTCAAATATAAAAAAAGGAAACTCATTTAAATTAGTTTTAAAAATATTTTGTAAGAAATAACAAGTGTTGGAGAGAATGTGGACAAAAGGGAACCCTTATCCACTGCCGATGGGAATGCAGACTGGTGCAGCCACTATAGAAAACAATATGGAGTTTCTTCAAAAAATTAATAGAGGTACCATATGGCCCAGCAATCACTCTTCTGGGTATCTACCCCCAAAACTTGAAAATACTTATTTTTAAAGACATGTACCCCTATATTCATTGCAATATTACTCACAGTAGCTAAGACATGGGAACAACCTAAATGTCCTTCAACGAATAACTGAATAAAGATGTGGCACACATATAAAATGGAATACTACTGGGCCATAAAAAGGATGAAATACTGCCATTGACGACAACATAGATGGATCTTGAAAGTATCATACTAAGTAGAATACATCAGATGAAGAGGACAAGAACCATTTGATTTCACTCATATCTGGGATGCAAAACACAAAGCAATAAACAAAACAAGTTCATAGACACAGACCATAGAATGGTGGTTACCAGAGGGGAAGGGGGATGGAAGGCGGATGAGGAGTAAAGGGGGTCAAATATATGATGATGGAAAGAGACTAGGCTCTGGGTAGTGAGTACACAATACACTGAAACTTAAGAGAAGTAATCAACAGCCCAGCCTTCCTACTCTTCTTCCTTCCTCCCCAATCTCCTTCCTATTTCCCCTCTCCCAGTCTCCTCTTTATTCCCACTTCTTTGTTGTATTAGGAACCCCTGCAGAACCAGCACCTCACCTATTTTCACCTCCAGATCCTCGTTCAAGAAGAGGTTGCCTAGCTTGAGGTCCCGGTGAATGACCCGGTTTCGGTGCAGGTACTGGCAGCCAAGGACGATCTGCCGCAGATAGTAGCGGGCCTCAGGCTCAGTCAATGCTTTCCTCCGTTTGTGCAGCTCCAAGAGAGACTGGGTAGGGGGGAAAAGAGGAAAGAGGAAGAAAGTAGTAGGGAGCGAGCGGCGCTCGATATTCGAGTCCAAGGGTGAAAGCGGTATCTTTAGGTAAAAGGAGCCGAGAACTGACGCTCCCGCTCCCCTCATACCCACCGCCCGCCCCTACCCTCCACCCCCGCCATTTTTTCTCCAGGACAATTAGGATCCGGGCTCTCCCATAAACCTGGCACTCCCGTTTTCTACCATCTCCTTCCAAGGCCCCTGACCGGGAACTCCTCTGTCAGCCCCACTCCCTAAGCTCAAAGTCCCCAGTATCCCCTTCCCTTGCTTTTTCGCAGCACCAGATCCCTTTCCTGAAGCTCCTAAGTCTGCCTCCAACCACCCTCTCCCTGACCCAACCCCAATCCGGAAGCCCCAGGTCCAGGGCACCGCTTCCCAAGGACTCCACCCTTAGCAACTCCGGAAGCCCTAGCGTCCATTACCAGAGTTCTCCTCCGACCTCCCCCCCCCCCACCCTCTGTCCAACACCCAGCGTCCAGGAGCCAACTTCCCTAGCAGCAAGAGGACTCGGGCTTCACTTAACCGAAACCCCCTCCCCTCGCAGCTCCAAGCTCTGTTCAAGTACTTTCACACCCCTAACTCGAGGTTCCTAGCACCTCCTTTCTAGCAGTTTCGAGCCCTGGGCTCCCCTTCACCAGCAACTCCGGGTCCGGGGGCTCCAACCCCCGCCCCTGGGCAGCTCCAGCCCCCCAGCCCCCGCCCCCGACGACACTCACTCTCCGGCGGCAGAGCTCCAATACCACGAACACGAAGTCGTTGTCCTCGAAAAAGCCGTGGAAGCCTACGACATGCTGGTGGGAGAGGCTGCGGTGAATGGATATCTCCATGGACATCTTCTCCTTCTGGTGCGGCTTAAGCAGCAACGACTTAGGCACGATCTTGCCAGCGAACACCTCCTTAGTGTCCGCGTCCGAGATCTCGAAGCACTTGGCAAAGCCGCCCTTCCCCAGAAAGCGGCCCCGCAAATAGCGCCGTCGACTGCGTGGGTCTACTAGGACCTCCGGGATCTCCTTCCCCGGCGGGGCAGCCGCCGGGGGCCCCGGAGCGGCAGCGCCGGGCCCCCCGGCTTTCCCTGGGTCGGCTGATGCCCGCGCCAGCTTCCCTACTGTTGCTGCCGTGCTCATGTTCCCGGAGTTGTTCAGTGGCCCTCCAGAGTCTAGGTAGAGGTTTGACACCGCTCAGCTCCTCCTCGAATTCAAACGCGGCGCCGGGAACGTTACAAAAGCCTACGCGCCACTGATTGGCCGCGGGGATTTAAAATCCAAACCCGCCCGCCGCGCGGCACTCTGGGTGCGCTAGGCACCGCAGCCGCCTTAACACTTTCCGTAGCAGGAAGGCTGGGGAAGGGGTGGGGGGATTTGATTGACAGGAACTCATGAACAGCAGACACGTGGGATGCCTGGGAAACGAGGAGTGCCAAAGCTGGAGTTCCGAGTTTCTTCTCCTCTCAGCTGCCCGGGAAGTACCTCCTTCCACTAAGCTTTCCTTAACACCTTCCTCCACCTCCACCCCGCCTTCTAAAATATAAACTCAGAATAGAGAGCCGGCAGCGCCAAGAGACAGCTTGGGAGAACCTTAGAACACGCCTCCAATGTTATTAGCTCTCTTCTGAGATACCCCCAATACACTAAAACCTAAGTAAAACAGGATGCTTGCGAAGAGTTTCCAAATTCATGTCAAGGTCCCTATTCCTTTTCCTTCAAATAACACCTGCTCCTGTGCCCCTCTGGCTTACAGAGCACCGCTACCAAAACTATGGTTCAGGGATCGCCACCATTACCATCACCTGGGAGCTTGTTAGAAAAGCAACTTCTCAGGTCCTGCTGCAGACCTCCTGAGAATTTGCCTTTCAGCGTGACTACCCAGGTGATTCCTACACATACTGAAGCTTGAGAAGCTCCATACCAGTGTCTTGCTTGCTCACTGTTTTTTCCAGTGCTTAAAAAAGTATACCCTCAGCCCTGGCTGGCGTAGCTCAGTGGATGGAGCGCGGGCTGGGAACCAAAGTGTCCCAGGTTCGATTCCCAGCCAGGGTACATGCCTGGGTTGCAGGCCATAACCCCCAGCAACCGCACATTGATGTTTCTCTCTCTCTCTCCCTCCCTTCCCTCTCTAAAAATAAATAAATAAAATCTTTAAAAAAAAAAGTATACCCTCAGTATTTGGTCAGAGGGAGAGATGGAAGAGTGCATGGCAAACTGGCAGGCCAAGGCCAAATCTGGCCTGCAGGGTTGTTTAGTTTGACTCCCCTTTTCAAAATTTGGATTCATTTAAAGCACTTCAGAATCAAGACAGGTCGCACAAAATTCAGATCTGTGGCTTTCCCTGAAAGGCAAAACAAAACTAGCAGTTCTGGCAACACTATGCCTGCATACTTCCCCAGTTTGTCAAAGTTCCCAGATCCCAACCCCCCGCCCCCCCACCTTTGTCTATTTGCCTGTCTTCCGTAGATACTTGAATGGCAAGCCTGGAGTGGCAAAATAGCTAAGTTAGAAACCCTTTCTCTGTTCCCCTGTTGCCCTACCCTGTTTTTGATAGAGTCCAGCAAAAATCTCACCACATTGTCAGTATCTCTTTACCCGCCTTTCAATAAACTGAGAGACAATAATGATGTCTTTCCTACCCCATGTTCCAGGCTCCCACTGCAATGCCCGGTAAAAAGGAAGAACAAATGTTCGCTGAATAAAAGGGAGGGGTTTTTTAATTATTGTTTTTTATCCCTGTGGTATATAGTCTTCTATTTTATGTTTATTGACGTTGATTTTACAGAGAGAAAAAGTATACAGATCATAATTGTACAACTCAGTGACTTTTCACAAACTAAACACACCCCATATAAACAGCACCCAGACTGAGAGACACTACTGATACCCCAGAAGTCCCCATCATGCTTTGTGTTGGGGGTCCCCAAGACTACCCCACCCAGTTCAATGATTCACTAGGAGACTCACATACTCAACATATAAGCCTACTCATGGCCAAATATGATTTATTATAGAGAAAGGCTGTGAAGAAGAAATCAGCCAGGGGAAATTTCAGGTGCACAAAGTCCAAAGGAAATCAGGAGCAAGCGTCCTAGAGTTCTCTCCCAGTGAAGTCACACAGGACACACTTAATTACTCCAGCAATGAGTTGTGATCACACCAGCAAAATATCATCTAATAGGGAAGCTGATTAGAGACTGACTGCCCAGGGCTTTCACTGGGGGGTGGTCATGTAGACACTCTCTGCCTAGCACATAACAAATTCCGAATTCCCAGAAGAAAAGCATATATTTAACATAAAGCACACTGCACAGTTTAGGCATAGCAAGCCATGCATCACTTAGTGAATGATGAGAAGCTTCCCAAAGCCCAAGTTCCCAGTAGTCAGCTAAGTGCCAACCTTGCAAATAGGCCTTTCTAAAGTGAGCAGTTTCAGGTCTGCTTTATTAACTCTTTTCTACATAGTGTAGCCTTGGCCCAGGCTTCTTTACAACAAAGTTATTATCAGTAGGACCCCCACACAAAAGGATGAAACCAATCTGCAGGACCGATCTCTGCTATATCTTATTAGGGGACCTGGATTTAGCCAGTTAAAGTAAAATGACTCCCATTAACCATAAAAGTCTACCTAAGAAAGCCAGGTAGCCTCTTCCTCAGTTTCTGTCTGACACATTTTTACCTGGCCCAAGGTATCAACTCAAGTCCAGCACAGCTATGGGCTGCAAGTTAAGTTGACCTGAATGAAGCCTTCTAGGGCTGAGCCAGAGTGGTGGTGGGCAGACAATACAACACCAGGGGGCATATGTGGGCTCCCTGAAAATGAGTTTACAATGTTAGGGTGCCCCAAGCAGAACAGACATTAGTCAAGCAGTGGAGGTTAATAGCACTCCCAGTGTAGCCTTCTACTTTGAGACCTCCTGGCCTAGAGTTCCCAGACCGGTATGAAAAACTGGTCCAGTCCTTGTTTTTCAAGGGACCGCCTGAAGGGAGTCCATTCCAAACAGTGTTGCATGTCCATGATACCAGTTATCCATCTTGTGAGCTTGGATAGCACTTGAAGGCATTCTGATGGAGAGTGCAGAAAGGCTCCTCTGTTGTCATAGTCAGTGCTGCCAGGTGTGACCACAGGCTGAGCAGTCTGAACTCAAAGTACTTGCAGTGCATGGCAAGGCAACAGTGGAAAGCTTTCAGGAAGAGGGAAAGACTCCCGAACTAGTTCTGACAAACAAAGATGAGAAATGCCCTTCCCATTCCCAAGTCTCCCTAGGTACTAGCTTTTTGCTTTTCTCCACTGTCACAAAATCAGTATGCCCCACCAATCAACAATCCTAACTTCACATTTATTTATTTTTTGGTTCTGCAAACTGTTTCCTTTTTAATTTAACAATGCACCATAAACATTCTTCTATGCAATGGATGAAAATATGCTACTGAAACACAGAGTGCTACAGTTGGATACTGAGAAAGACACCTAAAGCAAAGTATAAGCATAAAATTAAAGCCCTGGGCCTGGCAAATGCCTGCCAGGGGCACTACACAAAAGGAATATCTCCAAAGCCCCTTTGTGGGGCCTTATAGCCACCCCTGAGTTCCCTTGAACCCCTTGGGTAGAATGGGTCCTGTAAACTTTTGTGTATCCACATAACCGCCCCCAACCCCCCACCAATTTCTGTCTGGTTTGCTTCATCTCATCTTCTACCCTACCCATCTCGTCAAATTCGTCAAATTCTCTTACCATCTCCTAACTGTTCAAGGACATATTGTATATGGCCTCTTTGTGTTTCCTGAGGCACTGAGCCAGCCCCTTGTTGGTTTTTCTTTTGGCTTTCCTGGTACATCATCCCCAGCTGGGCATGCTTTCCTGCAGCCCTTCATCCAATAGCTGGGTTTCTTTCTTCCTTTGGCTCTCTGGTTTTCCTCGAGTCACTGGCTTTCCCTCTTCTTTTGGCTTTCCTTCCTTCTCTTCTAGTACTTCGTCTAGTATCTTCTTTCCCTTGTTTTCTATTTTTCCCTCATTTTCTAACTTTTCCTTGTCTTCCAGAGTATGAGCTACTCTGGCTTTTCAGCACACTGAAGCTTTTCTCTGTTTTCCATCTTTCCTTCATTCTCAGGCATTCCATTTTCACTGCAGAATTTTTCCATGTTGAGATGTCCCCCCACCCTTTTCCTGTCCTGCAGGAATTCTGGCCAGGTTCCTCCTTTTCTAGCCTACCAAGTGCTGAGAACAAAGACACACAGACCTTTTTCCTCTCAGTGCCTGTTCCTTCTCACCCATTCCAGTGTTCCTCAGGCAGCGATGAAGAAGTCCCTCGCACTGACCTGAAAGAACCTGGAGCAACAATTAGGAGTTCGCAGATGGCTCAGGGCCCAACCACAGCAAAGGAAACACATTTTAAAAATCATCTCTTACTGTCATCTAGTCCTTTCATCTGGAAGGATTGTACAAAGAGGAATAAAATCCCTTAACCAGAGCCCTGGTTGGGTAGCTCAGTTTGTGAGAATATTATCCTGATACATCAAGATTGCGGGTTCAGTCCTCCATCAGAGCACATACAAGAAGCAAACAATGAATGGTAAAATAAGTGGAACAACAAATTGATGTTTTCTTTCTCTCTCTTCCCCTCTCTCCTTAAAATCAATAAAATTTTTAAAAAAAATTTAAGCATTTAACCAGATAAGATATATTCAGGAACTGGTTAGGATGTGTTATGGGCTAAAATGCCTTCACTCAAAATTAGTATGCTAAAGCCCCTAATCCTCAGTACCTTAGAACATGACTACAGTTGGAGAGAGGGCCTTTAAAGAGGTGATTAAGGTAAAATGGAGTCATTAAGATGGGCCCTAATCCAAAATGTCAAGTGTCCTTACAAGAGATTAGGGCACAGACAACACAAAGGGATGACCACGTGAAGACACAGCATAAACACAGACATCTGCAAGCCAGAGAGGCCTCAGGAGAAAACAAACCCTGCTGACAACTTGATCTTGGACTTCTGACCTCCAGAACTGTAAGGAAATAAATCTCTGTTGTTTAAGCCACCCTCTCTGTAGTATTTAATAGCAGCCTTAGCAGATTAATAGAGGATGAAATTCTAAATTTTCAAAAATTTCAAAAGGGGTCTACATAACTTCCTTCCCCTTTTATCCACATAGCACCATAGGAAAGATGAATCCCTTTCTAGAGACAGCTATATTTGAATAATCAACCTACCTTACGTCCTCAGGTGTCTGTACCAGGGAAAAGTGCAGAGGTAGAATCAGGATATCAGCCCACTGTGGCAAATTGCAGCAATCCAGAAAGCTGAACAGTGCCATACCGGCCCCCCCACGCCCCCCCCCCCCACACACACACACCCACAGAAGGCCCAGAGGCTGATCTGTCAAAAGCAGATGGAGGAGTCACAGTCCCTATTATGTGCCCTCCCCCAACCGGCAGCTTTTCCTGGGGAACACAAGTTAGGATGCAGTTAGCCTCTGATCAGAGATAAAAAGCTGGTCAGCAGCTTAATTTTAGATGGTCCCTTCTGAGAGCAAGCCCTTTTCTATGGCATTTGTATGTGACCCAGAAGGTCCAGCCAGCATCCACAATTCATGTTTTCATAATTCAGAGTTCCACAGATGGGACCCTAAGTCTCCAGTCGTTCCAAGGTCT